GAATTTTTTGTGCATTTTTTTCTCATGACACACATTAATTTTGAAAATGTTGCAAAAATAGAAATAATTGTCAGATTTTAATGAAACTTTCAGAAACTATTCAGGGATGATGGAAATTAGTATAAATATATTACTTTTTTTAAAAGTCATTATAAAAATATATTTTTTATACATATATTACCACCCCCCTAAATAAATTAAAGAAAACTGTAAAAGTTTATGGACGAAGCAGGGAAGTTATTATATTAATAAAAACACAAGGCTTTGAGGAAAGTAAATCAGGTTTTCTTTTTTAAAAAATCCGAACTCGTAAACCGAAAATCAGCTCTGAATTGTAACATACAAAACCCAATAAAACAAAGATACTATTTAAATTTAAATAGTTTTAAATCATTTCACTGACAATTAAAAAAATATCTTGGGTTGATTTTAAATTCTCATTTTATGAAAATTTCCTCAATCTTCTTGCGCTTTGTCGTGTAGGGAGCACCACGTAATAATACTCATTTTCTTCCATATTTTTAAGTACAACAGTGTAACCCGGATATAAGAGACCCGGATATAAGAGAGATTTTCTCTGGTTCAAAATTAGAGCCTGTGTTAATGTATATAAAATAGACCAAACCCGGATATAAGAGAAACCCGGATATAAGAGACTTCTTCTCCGGTCCTGATAACTCTCTTATATCCGGGTTACACTGTATTAGGAACAGATTTTCGTCTGACACCTGTCAACCGGTGTAGAACATTTTTACGACGCTGTTAAACATGTTTTTGGTTTTCAAAAACATCAAATAATCTAAAATTTGAAAAAAAAAATGTTATAAATTATTTGTTGGCTTTCATAATTTGTCAAAATGAATTCGAAATTGAGATTGATGGTGAGTGCTTTGTTAAAAAATGTTTGAGGGAGAAGAAAAATTTTAATTGTTTAACTTTTATTTTAAAATGTGTTAAAAAATCATTTTGTTTTTTTGTATCCCTTAGACGGAAAAAAAGAATAGCGTGAGGCAATGCTTTAATTTTGAGGATTAAATATGCAAAAAATAAAATCCGCAGGATTGTCGTATTGAAAGATTTTCTATGAAATAATAATAACTTAACTATATTTTTTATTTCCCATTAATTGATTGAGAGAGATTTTAAAAACTTAAACAAAAAATCTTTAAAATATGCTTTTTAAAAATATTTATCTTCTATTGCAAAATCACGTAAATTTTCATTTTACTATAATAATCTATGGCGAGGGAAATATGTTTTGTCATTTTGGCCTCAATGTATGAATTTAATAAAAAGAATGAAAATGTTTTTTTTTTTTTTTTTTAGTTTTAAGTATCAGTTGTCTAAAAAAAAAAAATCATTCATTTACTTTTTTACTTATTGCCATAAAAATTATTCATTATTAATGGAAATGAATGACAACTTTATTTTTTTTTTTTTTATTGTTTTCAAATATATTAACTACCAAAAAGTATCATTCTAGAAAATAAGTATTAGCGAAAACTAAAACTATAAAGTAAAGAAAATGTGTATTTTTTTTTTAGCTCAAAACAAGAATCTTTGGCACTACTTATGTAGTCCACCTGTTTAAAAAAAAAAAAAAAAAACAGAAAGGAAAGATTGTCTTGGAAATACTTAGCATTCTTTAGACACTCCATAGGCAGTGACTCTTCTTGTCAGAATCGATATCGATTTAGAAGCAGGGTCATGTTTATCAAGTCAATTGTCAATACACACTTTTTCTGCACATTTTATTTAAATTTTCTAACCTATTTTTTTTAATTTCCTAAAAAAACATTTTGTGTTGTCTATATGAAATTTTTTGGAAGCACATGCATAAAAATTTGATGTTAATTGTTATTTATCTTCTTAAATGAAGAACAAACGGATACACATGGAAAAGAACTATGACAAAGTGGAAAAACCTTCTTATTAATTTATGTATATACCAGTTTCCTGTTTTCGTATGCAAAACATCTAGACAATAAGTCAGTAAAAGTCAGGGATCGATTTGTTGACATTGTATCGATATTATAAAATAAAAATCTATAATTTTCAATTCTGACAAGTGTTATCATAACCTACGAAATGTCTAAAAATGCTAATGGCTAATTCGAGCCTGATTCAACAAGGGTTCGTCCAGAAGGTCATAAGATTTTGTCCAAATTTTCACCATATGCTAAGCTAACATTCATGAGTAAGTAAAAGTTGATCCTGAAAATTTCAGCATGATCCCTCATTTCAAACAGATGCCACTTTGAAAACATTGAATTTTCTTGTTTTTTAGAGACCTTTCATTCAAAGTATCTTTGGAATTTTTTCCTTCATTACAACCATTATCAACTAATCACATTTTCCTATTAATTGTTGCAAAGATCCCAAGTGAAATTTTAAAAAATGTGCAAAATCCTTTTACAGTTAAATAAAATCCTGGATTTTGTCTTGCTGCCACTTCATGAAGACACATGCAAACCACCTCATCTTCTCTTATCATGCAATGCGTATCATAAACTTCACAAAAAACCCCCAATAAAACAGATCCCCTCATTCTGCATATTTCTGAGCAACAGGAGGGCAAAAGATTAAAAAATGCAATTTTTTAGCCATTCTGACCCATTATCACTTGGTTAAAATCATGTAAAACTATATATTTTTTGAAAGACAATGTGAATAAGAATGCAGAAAAGTTGAAATGTCTTAAACCATTGAAAGAAGTCATAAACATCTGATGAAAATGGGTGAAAATTAAAATGTTCAATTTTTGAGGAAAATCAGAGCCCCAAAAATCAATGTGCGTCATTTGAAAAAGCTTTTTAACCAATAATTTCTTGTACATCAAGCTTTGAACTGTTAATCCACATTTGTTCACTTCACAGACCATCAATGTTACATATTGTAAAATCAGCAATTGGTGATCATTTGCTGATCATATATATATTTTTGTCCTCTGGTGAAAATTTGGATGAAATTAGAGGACCTTCAGGACGGAGCCTTATTGAATCTGGCTGGTATGTCCCTGAAATTATTTCCCCGCCAAAAAATTTTCACTGTGTTTGTTACAAATGAACTATTTAAGTAGTACCAGATCTTCAAAACTTAATCCCCACCTGCTTTTAAGGATAAATTAATTGGTTAGAAAAAAAGTAAAAATTGAAATAAGTTTTTATATAATTTCCTAGCAACAAACTTTTAGTTTTGTTTAACGAAGTGATTTCGTTATCCAACCCCCCTTATGCTTCAGGACTGGCACATACACACACACACACCAAATGTATACATATAGCTTATATCCTGAAACCAGAATGCATGATAAGCCTAAACATAGGGTTATTTAATCTATGGTATGGCTGAAATATTCTGGTCCCATGCCATATTTTTATTGCAAACTATTTTTTAAACATCAGACTAATGCTATGTTTGTTTAATGTTTATAAACATAGCTAAAGCTGATCAAGGTGAATGAATTAAAAATAATTATTTTTTTATTCAATAGTCTATTAATTTCCAATTAATTTTGTTAAAAAAATATTGTTTTTCTTAATTACCATACCATAATTTCTTTGATTGACCTTTCATTTTATATTAGCAAATTCAAGAAATAAGATTAAAGAAACAGCTCTCATTTCTTTTCAAATTAGCCTCAGATAAATTTTAGCTGAATCTGGTTATGCTTAGCAAATTGTCAAGTTTGATATTTATTTCATGCTTTGTAAATTAAACTTATCAAGTTATTCTAAATGTTCCATTACTTCTTAATCTCACCCCACATTTACTGTCTTATATTTTATATAAAAAATATGTATCTAAATGAATCATGACTTTGAGCAACTAGATAGAAGCTGGTCAAAGTCATTGTTCATTTGGATACATGCAGAAAAACTAATTAGTATTCAGTGCGCATTGAATTTGCCTTCAAATCTTGTGACATATAGAAGCAAGAACTGTAACTCAAAAGACACTGATCCTATCAGATTATCAAGCAGCTACATTTGGATTTACTGAGAGGTAATGAAAAATTCTCAGCCTAACCCATTTCCCCAAATCAGTATTTTGATATTTAGCCATTGAAATACTGATTTGGGGAAGTGAATTAAGATGATAACTTTCCAGCAAAATATGACAAAGTCACCAGTTCAATTGTTAATCACTATCATATCAACAAAATTAAATGAAAACTACTGCCATTATTTATAATAAACTTATAAATAAAATCAATAAAGCAGTTGTTATTAAAATTGTCTCTAGTCGCTTTCTCCTACTAACATGCCTGTTGAAAGCAAATCTTTTATCAAACGAATCCATTTTCTATGATCTATTATTTATTATTTCTTTTAGTTTACTCTGTAAATGACATTTTGTATTAATAGCTCAGAATAAAAAAATTGTATTATGTATACTTTTTAGTAGGATATAGCATCTGAATGAAATTTGAAAAATGCGACAAAGTGGAAAAGCTTTTGATAGATAATCTGTTTTGCTTTTGTTAGGTAAGCATCATTAAATCAGAATAAAAGACAAATCTATGTTTTTTATAATAAAACCTGTAATGTCTGTTTGCAAGGTAGGCACCTTCCGATCAGAATGAAAGTACAAAACTGTTTTTTTTTTTTTGTATTTAAAAAAAGATACGTACTTAACAAAGGTGAAATGTGTTGTCAATAAAAAACATTTTCAAAATATATGTTTATATGTAAATTTTAAATATTGCTGTACTAATAAAAATATGTACATTTTCTATCTTATAAGTTGATTAAAGTAATAAGTCATGAAAATAATGTGTACAAAGTTTCATTTATTAATATTGGCCTATGTAGTTTACAATAAGGTATTGGATTAGAGAATTCATATATATAAATATTTTTTTATTTAAGAGAAGCTTGTTGCATCTTATCATTTAAAAAAATATTTGATTTCAGTCTGACCAAGAGATTTCTGTATTTTTCTACTTTTAAAATTTATTCTTTTCTATTTTCCTTTATAAAGTTTATCTTCTTTGAGTAATGATACGCCAGTTACCACCCAGTGTCCGGTCACAGATCCGGTCAGGTGTTGCTATAACAAGTATCACCCAGTGTGTGGAGGAGTTGTTACTTAACGCCGTGGACGCGGGCAGTAGATGTGTTGCAGTTCGCATTGATTTATCTTGTTTCCGTGTCCAGGTCGTAGATAATGGGACAGGCATTGCTGCTGACCAATTGGACAAAATTGGACAGAGGTAAGTTACTTGTTATTGTGTAGAAGGAGAGTGGTAGAGAAAGAAGTCTTTTTCAACAAAGTTGCTTTATATGTAAAAAAAAAAAAGATAAAAATAAAGTTCTGAATTTTTTATGTGTTGCTACAAATATACTTTGTGATCTATTTTTCATTTTTTTTATTCAATATATAATATTAATAACATCCCCAAACAGAAATATAAATGTTAAACTATTTAATTTATTTATTTCTAATTTCTAAGTGAGAGTTATTTTTTTAATCTAAGTCCCTTCAAGACATAAGTAATCATGACTCTCCACAGAGTCCTTTTCTTTATTATCTGTAAATTGCCATGCATTTTTTTGGAAAGATAGTGCAGTGGTTTCCTGTAACCTTCTTCATGGTTTGGAAATCAGAGTTGTCTCTCTTAGTTTCTACCTAAGGCTAGAAAGCCCAGTTTGTGCTGCTATTTGAACCCTAATTGGGACAGTGACAGGGAAGAAGTGACAAATTATCTTTCCCAAGGGCATTTTTACAAAATTGAATGTGACAGGCTCAGCCAGAATTTGAACTCTACTCACCAAATTTCACTTTCTGCACTGATAACTGTTACTTAAAAATAAAGTTTTTTGTTTTTTTTTCTTTGCACATGAACTTTGCCTGATTTCTATCTGATGTTTTGAGTAGTATTAGAACAGACTAAATGAAATTATTGCTATTTACTTACCTACTACCTAGGTAGGATGTGACACAAGGTCTATTTAATGTGGGGTGACATACATCATACTTATTATAAAACCCAGGTTGTGTGTGTGTGTGTGTGTATTCGTTTATATATTGGATCGGATTTCCTACATTTTTCAAACGATTTCAACAAAACTTCACAGGACTATATAAAATTATGTTGCGGTGGTTCTGACAGAGCCCAAAATTAGAAAAACACTATTGTTTTTGCATGAAATCAATTTGAATATATACTACACATTAATCTCTGGCCAAAAGATGTATGCAAAGTTTTGGACAATCACAGACATTTTAGTTACACTACATAATTGGGCTCTGACTTAATAAAATCCAAGTTTCTTTAGGCTAAGTAAGCCATTATATCTTACAGGTTATGTGTTTGAATTAAAAAAAAAATTTCGATGTGCAGGTGGTTTAATAGCAACTCAGAAGAAGACATTGGAGAACTGAGTTCAAATTCTACCAATGTTTTTTTTACATTAATCTACATGCAGGTACTTTTGGGAAAGGTATGACAGCACTTTTCCCCCAGCTATAGGCTAAATAATAGGACTTGTATCTGGAAAAATCATAGTTATCTCCAAAAAATTGTTAATGCAATATTCACTCACAGAAAAAAATTTTTTCAATCGGTTGATAAACCATAAAAATAACTCTATATAAAAGAGAATTTAATCCCTCATATATAATCAGAGCAATCTAAAATTAATTTGTACATTGGAAGTTGAAGGAAAATATTCATGATATTGTAATTTAAAACTCGGTTTAACCTCACAGTTAAATAAATTGATTCTACTTCATTTGTGATTTTGGGGGCACATGGATTAATCTAATCAAATTTCAAGAAATTGCTATTTATATTCTTGAAATATCTGAACATACTAAGGTTTTGTTTTGTCTAATAAGGCTGTTGTATAAACATTGGTTGTTTTATTTTTGTAAATTTGTATTTGAGGTTTGTCCATATGGGAAATAGTGATTTTGAAAAGAAGCAAATCTGGTGGTCTATATTCATTCTCTGTTTCAAATAATATGCAATGATTAAAAAGTGCTTAACTTTCATTAGGAGAAAAAACAGCATTGTTAATCAAACAAAATTTGTAAGCATATGTATAAAAAAATGGAGAAAATCAACTAATTTCTTAAATTTTATCTCTGAAACATTTGATGGTACTCGTACATTTGGCCGACGGACATTAAACCAAATGGACATTTAGCCAAAAATGTAGTGACGTACTTACATGTATATCACACTCTTTATCGTAATGTGCTACCTATATTTATTTACTGCATTAATTTATAATTTTTCTTTTTTGGACTGTCGTTTTTTTAAAATCTATTCTGTATATATTATATTTTACTTCAAATATTACTGTAAGAAGTATTTTGAGAAAAACCACATTTTACTACAACAAACATCTTAAGCATTTACGATATGAAAGATCTTTCAATTTCGCTTTTAATGATCATTATCTTAAAGGGATGAACTAGAATTGATCTTACTGTTAAATGCAAATGTAAATAATTAGGTGCTACTTTTTACCCAAATACACTCAAATATTTTTAAAAATACTTATTTTAATAAACAAATATTGAAATAAGAAAACTTTTAACTTTAAATTTAGATTTAGTAATTTAATCACTTGAAATTCACTGGTAATTATTAGTCCTATTCTACCTTATAATACTGCTAATTAAAATACTTAAAGTATTGCTTGTTACTATTTTTACTTGTACTTTTTCGGTGAAATGTCCGTTAGCCAAATGTCTGTTTGGCCAAATGTCTGTCAGCCATTGTTGACCAAATGTCCATCGGTCAAATATCCGGCCATGACATTTGATTTATTATAATTTGAAAACTACATGAATGCTTTTGATTTCCTAATGTGTCAGGCTTAAAGAATGTGGTTTACTTGAGAGAAATTGAAGGATAGAAGTAAATTGTAGCTTGAAGTTATTCACACCTTTGAGTATTGTGGATTTTACAGGTATATAAGTAGATGAACAGTAGAGTGGAAATGCCTTAATACAATTAACAGTATTTAAATAAGAAAAATTAACTTATTTAACTTAAAAGCTACAATATCTAACTTTAATTCAAGATGTTTGCTTTCTGTACATAAAATTTTAAATATTTTATAAAAATGATAGCTTTATAAATATTGAACATTATTTTTATAATAACTGAGAAGAGTTTATGTTGGAGAATATAGAGATTTTATATTTTAAAAAAATCAATCTTTTATGTGCCATGTCTCTCCAGAACGTCAACAATCATGACACTTCCCCACTTCAATCCATTGTAACTCTAAACAGAATTTGTTCCCTATCTCCTTAATTCCTGTTCTGCCATCTATTTACTCAAGCTTGTTAGGTAGGTTACTTGGTGTTTCCCTCTAAACCTCTAGTATGTCCTGTGTGTGTCAAATTCTACTAGTTCTCTTTCCTCATTATGTGTCCCAGAAATTTCAACTAAGTACAAGTGTCCTTTTTGTTTCTACTTTCCTTTCTCAGTGTTCATATACTCTGTCCAATGTATTCTCAGTATTTCTCTCTGTAGAATCGCACCTCTTTGTTGCTTTTCCTGGCACAAATCAGATGTGCGAGTGGAGCAATGGATAGCGATTCAGAATGAGAAATCAGAGAACCGAGTTTGAATTCCAGTCAGGTTCGTTACATTCACTTATGTACAAATACCTGTGTGAAAGATATGAATCCATCTCCTCCCTTCCTGCTATGGGTTGAATAGTAAGACTTGTATCTCAAAAAATTGTTAATTCAATATTCACTTGCAAAAACAAATTATTTTTACAATTTAAAAATATTTTTCAGCTTTAGATAACCTACAAATGTTTGGTAAGCTATAAAAAATCCAATCAATCTATCTAGACACAATTCCCAGATATTTAGATATAATTACTAAAATCGATTCTCGGCATTTGATTTAACTCTTGAATTTATTATTTTTGTGCTTGCAGGTATTCTACAAGTAAATGCCAGGCTATTGAGGATTTGGAATCACTTGGCCAGTTTGGCTATCGCGGAGAGGCTCTGGCCAGTATCCGTGATGTTGCTTATATTTTGGAAGTTACATCAAGAGCCCGTTGCTCTGCACAGACTTACTGCAAAATCTTTCAACAGGGAAAGTCCCTGGACACTGTAGAATCAAAAGTCCATCGTCCAAGTCCAGGCACAACTATCACTGTACACAATCTTTTTTACAATCTTCCTGTTCGACAAAAATCAATCAGTATGACTTTAGAGATGGAAAATATTTGCCATCGCATTGAAGCATTGGCTTTGATGCAGCCTGCACTCTCCATTACCCTGAGAAACGAGACTACAGGGTCTGTCCTCCTTCAGACCCACAAAACCAATAGTCCGTTAGTCACATTCTCATACCTTTTTAGTCATTCAAAAAGCCAAACTCTGGTTAGTGTTTCAAAATCTGTTGGATATTTTTATATTAAAGGTTATATTGGTAAAGAAAGCCATTATCGGAAAGACTTACAATTCATCTATGTTAACAAACGCCTTGTTCTGAAGACACAGTTACACAAATCTGTAAACAGACTATTAAAGAAATCACTTATTGTCCGTCAACGTCAAGCACTGGATACTGGTGAAAAGCTAAGCCCCTCCAAACAAGCTGACAAATATCCAGTATTTGTGCTTAATATTCAGTGCCCACTAAATACCTATGATATCACATTTGACCCAAGGAAGACAATGGTTGAATTTGTCAACTGGGACATGCTCAGCACTGGTGTGGAGGAAATGTGTAAAGAATTTTTGCATAAAGAAAATTTGCTGACAGTGGATTGTTTGCTTTCTGAAGAGAGAAATAAAAATGATAATCAGAAAATGAGCTCTAATGACGATGCCAATAAATTGTTGGTCGATAATTATAAGCAAACAGCTTTTGGTAACATTGATGATGAAATGTTTAATAATGTCCGAACACGATGTCTCAAGTCCTGTCCTATCAAGCGGCTTTTTGAAGATTGTCATTCCAAAGGAAATATGGACTTTGAACAGCATACTGCTAATAAACAGTGTAAAATAGAAGTTTCAAGTGAGAATAAAGTATCAAACAGTGATAATATCAACTTCCATAATAACTCGATTCCTAGTTCTTTGTCAGTATCAAGTTTTACAGGCACTCAACCTGCAGAAGTGATGCTTTCTGTTTTGCAGAAAAATATCAGTAATGAAAGTAAATTACTCCCACATCAGAATTCAACTTTAGTTCCAAAGACTATCTCAGAAAGTGAAAAAATGCCTTTTGAAGAACCCAATAGAAATGTAGGCACCCAGATGGTTGAAGTTTGTTCTTCTGACTGCGAAAGTAACCTCTCACAAGAGGACAGTGATTTGTCTCAGAAAAATTCAGCTGTACCTAATTACATCAATGAAAGGTTTAAGCATGGAAGCTATAAACAGATGTTAAGGACAGATGATGTCGAAACAGAAGGGTGGTGGCAAATGTACAATAGTGTCTCTTGTCAATCTTCTTGCTCTGAAGAAACTAGCAACAGCTTAAGCAAAAGTGTTCCTCTGGCTTTTAAGTTAAATGTCAATGAAACATGCATTACAAAACATGAGGCTTGTAAGAAAAGTAAAGATAGTGGTTTTGGTTTACCTTCTGGGAAAAATGTTCTTTCTGTATTCAGGAGTGCCAAGAGAAATTCAAAAGAATTACCTAGTGTTAAAATGACTCAATCAACAAGATCAATTTTGGATCAATTTCGAGCTCCTCGGCATAAAAGAGAAACAACACAATCTGCTGTGAAGAGGATAAAACCTGATATGAAGACTTTCTCTTGTCTGGAGAAGAGAAATGTAAATTTAGATTTGGAAAAAGATTGCGTAAAAGATAATAATTCAGAAGAACAGCAAATATCTTTGAGCAGTCATCAGCTAAAAGTGAAGATGCATCCACAATATGAAAATTTATCAGTGGAAGAGAATGAGATGCTAAAAAAATTATTGGTGCAGGGATCATCAAGAAATTCAATTGCTTCCAAGCTGTCCAAACTGTATAAAAATGATGGCATGAAGAATTGCAGTCCTTCTGAAACTGAAATATCACTCACATCTATTTATACTGGCCAGAACGAGAAATACAAATCTTATGAAGATAAGGAAAAGGAGTGCAGTGAAGATCATTTAGAAAATGAAAAAATAAACCAGGTTCTTAGTAAGCTGAACCCTATAATGGAAATGTGTTGTGTTAAAGATTCTAGAACAATAGAGATTGAAGATGGGTTTACTGCTTTAAAAGAACACAGTGATAATATTAGCAAATCAGTGCCATCTTTGGAAGTTGCAAATCCTCTGTTGAATTTTGGATCTGTAGTAGACAAGAGTAAGAATCCTGATGTTTTGACCTGCAAGCAAAATTTAGAAAAGACAGAAAATGTTGTCAGAAAGAAAAGACCATTTCTCTCTTCATCTACTTTTCTGCAAACTTTGGACAGCATTAATCTACAGAATCTAAAGAAAGAAGCAAGCCATGAAAAAGAGAGTCAAAAAAAATGTTCAAAGACTTTTGACTCAGGTTGTATCCAGTATATCCCTGGAGAGAGGCATGATGGTGATAAACATTTTAGCAACAGTAGAGACTGCTATAGAACTAGACATTATCAGTTGCATGGAAATGTTTGTCTTCCATCTTGCTCCAATGATGAAACTAATAGTGAATTTTGTGACAATTCATCAAAAGTAATTCTGTTTTCTAAGAATAAAAATTCATCTAATCAACTATACTCAACTCAAGATAAAAATACTTCTTCTGAACAGATCTCTACAGAATCTTTGCAATTAGCCCAGTCACTCTCCATGAAGAATTCTGTTGAGAAGTCAATAAAGTCTTTGGATTTTAGTACAGACAAAGATTCTACATCTCCCCCAAATTCACAGGACACGGCACATATTAATTGTGAACAAGATATTCTTAATAGTAATTTTTATGATGGAACTCTTGATTGTAAATGGAAAGAAAATAGTGATACAAGATCTGTGGCAACAGTTCCAATAGAGAACAATTATGAAACTGAAAAATCATGTTCTATGATTAAAACCCTAGTAAATAAGATAGAACATGAGGAAAAGATTCTCCAAAAAAGAAACCAAATTAACCCTGTTTCTAACAAAGAAAAAACAATAACATATAAAGGAGAAACATGCTCAAAGTTCATTCAAGAACAGACATCAAATCAGAAATCAGAGGATACTAGTCTATGCTTGGATGAAATTCCTAAAAGTGACATTTCCAAAATGTGGAGTAAGAATCCTGAAATCTCAAGCAAATCTTTTAAAATGTTAACTGAGATGAGTGAAGTATCAAGTGCTTGCCCTCAAATGTCAAGTAAGACTTGTGAAATGTTGAGTGATACTTGTGAAAAGTTAGAAGAGTTTTGTCAAATATCAAATGGAACTTCTGACATTACAAGTCCTACTCCTGAAACATTGAGTGATATTTCTGTTACTCTTAGTGACACTCATAAAACATTGAATGATACATTTGAAGTGGCAAATGATATGCTTACAAGTTTCATGCCTTCTCCAATTATATCATCTAATGCTCCTAAAATAATATCTAATACTTCTGAAGTTACAATTCGGACTTCTATAAAATCAGAGAATACTCAAAATTCTCAATTAACAAGTAGACATTGCAATTCTGCTTCTTTGGAAGCAACAACTAATCCATCAAAACCTGTTTCTGACATATCTCAACTTAATGAAGAATCTGATCTAAAACTAGATTTAACTGACAAGGCAAATAATTCACCAAATTCCTCTACTTTGATCTCTGTAAAATTATCATCTCCTTTATTTTTAGAGGCTTCTAGTCATAAAACTAGTCCACAAAGGGAAACATTATTCAGTGAAAGTCAAGATTTCCTTCTGAGAAAAACAGATGATGATTTCCGTCCTTCTCTGATAAAACAAACAGAAAAACCACATTTGCTCTCTCTTAGGCCACCATCTACAAACGGTGACCCTGATTCAAATGGGAATGATCTCATTAAAGTTAACCATTGTAAGCACCAAGACTCTGATCAGAGCTCCCAAAAATTAGATGCTGAATGTGTGTCTAAGATTTTATCTCAAGAACCAGTTAGGAAAATACAGTATGCCAGAGAAAATTCTAGAAACTTGTGGATTCAAACTGAAACAAATATACAACAATCTTTCTCTGACGAAGTCAATTTCAATCAGGATGTTGAAAAATCATCAGACACTTCCAGCTTGGCCTTAATGAATTCTTCAGGCACAGAAGACTCAAAAACTTTAGTTCTCCCAAAACTGTCTGTATTTTCAAAGTCAGAGGAAGTTTCTTCCACTTTTGAGACATCTATAGGAGTTTGTATAGATTCCCATAAGATTCATCTTAAAACAAAAGTTGATCATTTGGAGAATTCAGAAACGATGTTGTCTCAAGATTTGGTTTCTGAAAAAGAAACTATTTTTCAACCAATCACAAGTACTGATTTAGATTTGAATAAATGTCAACAAAGTGATGACAGTTTGTTAGAATCCATCATGAAAACAAATGAAAGCTTAGAAAAGGAATGCATTCAAAATCCCAATGTGAAAACTGATGAAAGTTATTCACAAAACCTTAATACTGAATGTGATGATAATGATGATGAAAAGGAAAATGAGTTAAATATTGTTGATGAAAGTGAAACAGGTGAGTAGAGAATGCATGTCTATTTATAAAAGTTCTTGCATGATTTTCTTGTTTGTTTACTTAGCTTGAGCTTTAAGATGTAAAATTTATAAAATAATATTTCTAAACAGTCAATTTTTAAATAAAACAAGCAAGAATTGTGTTTGTGCAAATATTTTTGTTCACAAAATCAATCATATTCCTTGTCTGTCAGTCAAATATTAAGATATAGCATTGAAGCCTGCTTTCTCAAGAGCTGTCTTCCAACTAATGTCCCACCATTCTACTAAACAAGCAGGCATATGAACTGTGAAAATGATGTAACTAATTTTTGTGTGCTATTTGTTACAACATAAATGATTAATCAAACACATTTCCAATACTTGATGCTATTTCACTTTTCCAACATACATTCTGGTCAAGAAAAATAGCTTTCATTGTAAATCATAAATAAAAAAATTGCTTTTTTTTCATTTATCACTTTTTCCAATCTGAGAATGAGTCATTGTTTTCCAAAACTTTTAATGATCATTTGTTGAAAATTAACAACATTGAACCCAGGAGGACAAATAATGATTTAAATTATGTAAAAAGCATATAAAAAATAGCTCTTCCACTCACATTTATCTAAAATATTGTTAAACAGTAAATACAAAAGTTTAATTCTGTGAATAATAACATTTGTGACTAGCATGTGCAAATTTTTTAAGCTTTCATACTTTTTTTTTTTTTTAAAATCAAAATCACCCCAAGCAAGGCAGTAAAGCTATTAAAACACAAGTGGTTACAGGGTATGGAAGAATTAGGAACAGAAACAATAATGATGAGCAGAATGAGAAGAGAGTAATCAGGAGCACAGTAGATAACAATTGACATTGCATTTAAATTTTTGTATATTAAAGTTGGCTGGAAAGCATGGAACTGAAAGGGAGTTCCATAAGTGAGAAGTGTGAGAGAAGAAACTGTTAGCATAGAATTTAGGGCTACATCTTGTCATTTTAACTGTAAATCAATGAGATCTCAATGCCAGTCTAGTACTGTGCTTAAATTCAAAACCTATAGGTACCATACTGAAGAGGTCATCTGAACATTTACCATGAAAGTATTTATAGAAAAGAGATAGAGAGGCAACCTTACAGTGGTATGAAAAGTAACTGGAGCCAAGCTGCCAGATCAGGGCCAATAATATTGCTGATTCTTCTTTGAAGGAGATCAAGGTAAATAGCAGGGCACCAGACCATATGTGGCTGCAATATTCTAAGCATGGATGAATGGTAGACTTATAGATATCTAAGAAAGATTCTGGAGAGAAAAATTGTCTCGCTCGACATAATGAACTAACTTTCTTAATAGCTGACCTAGCAATGGATTCAATATAATCTTTCCACTTCATGTCAGCTGAGGACATTAGCCCAAGAAGGCACAATGAGTCACTTTCCTGGAGGTTAGCATCAGCCATGCTGATGGAAGGCAGCAAGGGGTCTCTCAGATGATTACTTGGGAAAATTATTCAAAAACAATTTCAGTTTAAAATTATTGATTTTGTCAAAAAGATGTGTAGGATGGTGTTGTATTAAGGATGGTTTTCATAAAACATTATTTCATTTATCATTTTTAATGTTGTTGACTTTGCAATTTGAAGTGCTTGAGGCTTATTAATATATGCACTATTAGTGTTTGTTAAAATGTTTGATATTATATAAGAAATTATGATTTAAATTGACTTTGATTTTATTCTTAATACAAACTTTTTGACCAAATCATTCTTTGTAATAAGAATTCCAGTTATAAACTGGAATTCTTATTACAAACTCTTGATAAGGAAAACACTTTTTGTAATGAAAATATCCTTTCTGCTAGCAAAATAAACTTATTACTGACACAATTTAAAACAGCAACAACAACAACTGTAATAGTAAAGAACATACAAATGGGATAATACAGTTCATTTTATATCTTTTTATACTTAATTTATTTGTACTTCCTATAGAGAAGCAATGTGTATTAATTTCAATCATAATGTTTCCAGGTTGATGTAAATAAATCTCAAAATATTGCTAACAAAATCAACCAAATTCTCTGTTAATAAAATATGAATTATTTACATTTATATATTCTTTAGAGTCAGCTTCCATTCTCTAATTTCACAGGGTCTCTTTAGAGGGAACAGATTTTCAAATAAATGATATGTGACCATCTTGGATTAATTAAAAAGATATTAAAATGATTTTATCAAGACCTAAAACAAATACAAAATGATTCTCACACTATTTTCGGTTTTGTTTTTCAGATTTCACTTTAAAACTTTGGAGAAATTGGAAGAATCCAGTCTTTCAAATAGGTGAAACTGTGAGTGTCACCATTTCAGCATCAGCAAAATTATGAACAGCAACTAAGCTGATATTAGAGTGGGGATCAATTTGTACAGATATTTAAAGAATAGTTCATTGTCTTAATATATCTACAGAATATAGAATACGGAGAACTTTTTAAAAAGATTAGATAATTATACTGCATTGGATTTAAGTGCGGCGCATGCACATATTTGCTGCAAAAACGACATTGATAATGTGTCTTTTACGCAGAAAGACAGGTGAAGTAGGTGTTACAGATTCCTTCTTCTGGTGTATCTGCTTGTTTTTGTTGGAGAACTAATAAGCAGTTAACTGTAATCACTGAAAAATTATAAATATATTCAAAGTACAGTAAGAGACCAGAGCAGAGGTCAGGTGATATTTGTCAGTACTTGGATGAAACTCCTAAAAGTGAGATTTTGAAAATATTAAATAAGAATCCTGAAATCTCAAGCAAATCATTTAAAATGTTAACTGAGATGAGTGAAGTATCAAGTGCTTGCCCTCAAATGACAAGTAAGACTTGTGAAATGTTGAGTGATACTTGTGAAAAGTTAGAAGAGTTTTGTCAAATATCAAATGGAACTTCTGACATTACAAGTCCTACTCCTGAAACATTGAGTGATATTTCTGTTACTCTTAGTGACACTCATAAAACATTGAATGATACATTTGAAGTGGCAAATGATATGCTTACAAGTTTCATGCCTTCTCCAATTATATCATCTAATGCTCCTAAAATAATATCTAATACTTCTGAAGTTACAATTCGGACTTCTATAAAATCAGAGAATACTCAAAATTCTCAATTAACAAGTAGACATTGCAATTCTGCTTCTTTGGAAGCAACAACTAATCCATCAAAACCTGTTTCTGACATATCTCAACTTAATGAAGAATCTGATCTAAAACTAGATTTAACTGACAAGGCAAATAATTCACCAAATTCCTCTACTTTGATCTCTGCAAAATTATCATCTCCTTTATTTTTAGAGGCTTCTAGTCATAAAACTAATCCACAAAGGGAAACATTATTCAGTGAAAGTCAAGATTTCCTTCTGAGAAAAACAGATGATGATTTCTCTCCTTCTCTGATAAAACAAACACAAAAACAGTATTTGCTCTCTTTTAGGTCACCATCTACAAACAATGACCCTGAGTCAAATGGGAATGATCTCATTAAAGTTAACCATTGTAAGCACGAAGACTCTGATTAGAACTCCAAATTTCATATCATCTCCAGTTATATCAAGTAATGCTCATAAAATAATATCTAATACTTCTGCAGTTACAATTAGGACTTCTATAAGGTTAGAGAATACTCAAAATTCTCAATTAACGACCATAGTTTTGTTATGCAAATTAGGATATTCTTTATTCTGCTTTATATATTTACAGCTGCTTAGGTGATAGCGAAGTTATGACTATGACAAATGTTATGATTTTGACCAAAGTCAGTGGTTTAATTAAATTCTGATGCTTTTCTTAAAATGTCGTTGGAATATACTTCTATGTAACCAACACGCATTCAGATCTGAAAATTAATTGGTTATTCTGAGTCGTTTTTCTTTCAGTTTAGAATTATCTAATTTTGACATTTTATACGCTGAGATATGTAAATAGGCTAATGGAAAATATGCCCTTAAATGACAAGAAAAAGAAGATAAATCCTACTTTTCTAATAGTATTCATTTGCATTTTGGCTCTTCAAAAAGAGAGTACATTTAAAGTGAAAACACTTCAAAAGAAGAAAAAATCATTTCAAAATCAGCAGGAAATCTTTACAAATGATTGTTGTAAATTGTTCAAGATGAGTAAGTAATGGTATAGTGCCACTAAAATGTTTTAGTATATTCATTTAAAATTAAAGTGTTAAGACAAATGCTAACATTATTTATTATCTCTTATCAGAGAGAGTGAAGCATTTCAATTCTATGTTTTTATCAAATATTATCCCTTATTATTGTTGATGTCCAGTATTCTTATAAAGGTCTCGAAGGTATGATCTCAGAATTTTATATATTATAGACTAAAAAAAGATGTTTAAGTAGAATTAAACGTAAACAATGCTAACAATATAGACACCTGATTATTTTATTGTCAGTCAGAATAATTTTCTGCTTTTAAAAAATAGAAATTTTTATGTAACAGATTTGTTTTGATTTTTAATCATACATACAGATGAACATTGAACAATAAACATACACTGATAAAGGTTTTTTGCAATGGGATTTGGACAAAAACTGAAAAGAGAATTTTGTTTCATTTATCGTGTATCTTTTATCAATTCTGTTATAATCACATTGAGTGAATTTGCCAAGTATAAAATCACCTATTTTATCTCATCAATGGATTAAAAAAAAAAAAAAATGAAAAATACGTGGCTATTGCAGCCTTTTTAATCAATTTTGAGCGCTAATTTTGTTAAAAGTAGCATTCTTAGTTTAAATCTTCATTCAGGGATTCAGTATTGTACATGATAGAAAACAGCCAGATTAATCTGTAAGATTTTGTTTGAGTGAATTTAATAATCTTTGATTTTTTGGAGATTTTTTTCCTTTCATATTTGACAATCATAAAACTAACATTTTCTCAGCTTAAGACTTATCCAAATTATTGGTGTAATTTTGAATTCTAATTCATCTGCTTTTTGTTAATCTTGACCCTATTTATTTTTCAGGATGTTCTTGATATTTGGACAAATCATTCAGTGCAACGAAAACTCCATCGAATCACTCATTCTTGTCAGTTCACAAAGGCAATGCTTTCACAAATGGAGGTAAGTTATAGTTTCATAGATGAGCTTGGAGATTTTTAATCCACACTGTTAGCCATTTTGGTGAACAACTGACTTTGATCCAAGTTTTGAAGTAGCTATCTAGAATTATAAACTGTGAACCAGTTTGTGTAAATTACTATTTACTCAAATTCTAGCTTGGTTGTGCTCTCAGCAATCATAAAGTTTTCTTTGAAATTCTAAGATAAGGTATTACTATTAATGTCCCTATTACTATTAATGTCCCTATCATTTTCTTTTGTCATATTTAATGCCTTATTAAACTCAAAACTCATTTTGATAATATTTTTGTTCAATGATCTTAAGATTTCAAGGTGTTCATTTCTTTTGAATAATTTTATTTTTTATTATAATTGATGTGTAACATAATGGGTCTTTGCTTGCCTGGCTCAGGCCACCTACATTGTTCAGTAGATTGTAAATGATTTCAACTGGGTCTGAAGTGACTGGTGTTTTATGACTGCCATTAAAATTGAAATGTGAGAACTTCAAAACAATCACTAGCTGTCTACAAGCAGGTTTAAAAGAAAAAAAGAAATGAAAGTTTTCATGTTCAAGTACCACTCAGCCAGAAGGTAGTACATTTTTGGTTATGGGTTTATATAGTCAGACCACATTCTATAACAAGGTATCCCATGGAGAGTGTCCGTCCTGAGTATGACAATAAACTACAGCTGAGTCCTGGGTAAGACGATAAACTACATCCAGCAGCAAGGCCTCTGATCAAGAGGTTTTGAGGAGCATGGAACCACTTCTTAATTGCTGGTGTTCCCAAGTCCACCCTGACCCTGGGTGGTAGCACCTGTTAGGGTCCCAGCTATGGGCAAATTATTAACACCCCAAAAGTGGTGAAAAAACTATGAAAGTATAAAAATACATCTTAATACCAGTAATACATTTTTGAAAAAAAAATATCATTACCAACAATACATTTTTGATGGAAAAAATATTACCAGCAATAAAAATCTTGTCGGCATTAAATAGCCCATTGAGGTTGATATGCTGTAAAACAAAACCAAACCAAACCATGGAGAGTGTAAAGCTGATGTAGAGTTGGGAAAAGGGGTGGTAGGAGAGAATTGGTAGTCAGAGGTGCAGTCACAAGCTGTCTGTTGAGACGTAGAGAGTTACACTCAGAGGGATAGTCAAAGTTGTCACTGGTCAAATGGGAGAACTTGTTCATTAGTTTGTCCTAAGAGAAGAAAGAAGTATCAACAAAAATGTCCCAAGTATCATCTTACCTCTAGACTCTTCTAAGATGAAGCTATAAATAAAGAACCTAATGTATTTCTTTTCTTACTGCAGCCATCTTTCACCTTGCATCCCTTTGTTATACACTGGACCTTTTCCAGTTTTTGTTTATACCAACACAGATGGGAATTGAAACATATTGTCGGGTGAAGCTGACTATTTGGTGAAAGACTGACTAATGTTTACAGATTTCCTGAAACTCTTTGAATGATTCATTAGGTAGTTAATTTTATTTTGCTAATTTTACAGACAATCGGTCAGGTGGATAATAAATTCATTGCATGCATTGTGAAATCAAAATCACAAGATGGAAGATATGGAAGTAAGTATATTTTTCAAATGAATTTTTAATCACTTTGCCTAATTATAATTTTTTATTTGCTATTCAGCTGTCTGTCCTGTTTCATTTTGGTAAACCTCCAGGCACATTTGTTTACACAACAATAGGACTAATTTAATTCTGAATTCATTCACTTTGTTTTGTAGTTGTTGCAGTAGCAGCAATATGTAGTGTTGATGAGTTATGCACCCTTGTGCAAATTAACTAAAACAGTCACTTTAGTTTCCTTTTTTTCATCATATGGTCAGTTTTAGACCACCTGGAGTGACAGGGTGTAATTGATTTCGATTTTTTCCTCAGATTAGGTCATTTGCAGTGGTGTGCAGTAATATGAATCTATTTTTTGGGTGTATGATGAAATTTGTTTGGCCTTGAAAAATATTGCATTATCCAGGATTGCATCAGATTTTTATCACGTCCAGCCACTATTGTCTTGACTGTCGATTAGTTGTCCTACGGAAGATTACTCCAAGGAAGCATATGAAAAGTGTAACACTGCATGAACACACTGGCAAGCCTTACTAGTGAGCAAATCAAAGTACTATTGACCCAGAATCTTCTTGATTTAAATCCAATCGAGAATCTGTGGTCAATCTTCAAGGAAAGACTTTGTGGAATAGACATACAAAGTACTAACATGTGCACTGGGTCTTGTTTCATTGGGAAAATATGAAAAAAAAGTAAATAAATGAGCCTCTTTGTAATACTGATCAACAGTTATAGCACCATTTTGCTTTGTCTTGAAGGGTTTCAAGGTGCTATTCTTGATGAGTAGTGGGTTGTCTGCAAAGATTTCATTTATTGGGATGAAAATCAGTAATATTTATTTTTATCATAAGCTTTAATCAATGAATTTCCTAAGAGATGAGAAATTTTATTGTTATTATTTGTTTTGCTATTTGGATTGCCCTTGAACTAGCACTTCTAGTTAGCAGTATTATTACAAAAATAGTGAACTGTTTCAAGATGTTTATGAAACTTGGAAATGAAAAAACTCTCCCCATGAAGGAGTACAGCAATAATAATTAGAAAAAAATATATTTATGTCAGTACTTTTGATAGTAAATTATATAAAAAATAATACATCCTAACATAACATATCACTAGTTTAGTCTAAACCTATTAAATTATATTTTTAATTCAAGAAACAATTTTTTTGCATGTTTGGGTAAGATGATTAAATGAGAGTTATTCAAAAAGTAAAGTTAGTCTACTCAAGGTTGTTAATTTTTGTAAATAAGAAAGTATCTTGAAGTCCAGGGGTTGGTTGGGGTTAATGTTTTGTGGAGTCATTCTTTCTTTTCTTAAATACAATCCTCTTTCAAAATGGTTGCCAATCTAGTTGTACATAAAAAGTCATAGGAGAAAAGTGAAAGTGCTGTAAGCATTCATAGGAGTTTAGTGAATGCCTGTAGTAAGGTTGCATTTGATGTAAACACAGGAAATGAGTTGGTAGAGTTAATGAAAAAGGAGAAAACTGATCTTGGTGACAAATCTCATTGTGATAGGACCTTTGCTTGCTGAGAATGTGCATAAGGCCAAGCAAGCTGATGCTCTCATTACAGCTGTCAGAATTACAAAAGTCTGTGAAAGCTTTCAGGTGAGCCATAGTAGTGTTTTTGCTGTGGTACTGTTAATAAGAATAGACCATTTGTAGATGTCTGTTTATTGCTGCGTGAATAACATGACCACACGATTTATAATTAATGTAAAATACCACAAAATATGAAATACAAGAAGGAACAAAAGGTTTTATAACAAACAACATTTATATTTATTTTTGTGTCATGATGTACATGCATAGAGATTTGTTTTATGTCCCCTTGACCATGAAAAATTTTTATCTGAACTCACAAAAGTTGAATGAATTACAAAGCTTAGAAATGATGAATAAACTTTAGCTTTAGAAGATTACTTCAAAGAGAAAAGTTCTTGTTGCTTGTTTGAAAATGCTTTGTATGTTTGTAATGTAGTTTGGAAAATTTTGTACGTATGTGCATGTGTGAATATGCTTTTAACGTCTGACCGTCCATGGTCAAGATGAGAATCTTTCAAGGCTACATCTTTGCAGGAAAAGAGAGAGAAAGAGCAAACTCGTGTATGCTATTTATAATTAATGTAATCATGTGACAGGATCGCAGCAAATTGGCAAGAAACTTGGTCAAGCGCTGGAAAAATATATTGTGTGTGGGTGGATTGCAACGCCCACTTGTGTGTTTATTGACCAATTAGAAGCTGATATTTCCTGAAAATCTGTATGAGGCTGAATAAACTTCTGAATCCACTTTTTGCACAAAATTGTACAAAATTCAACATTGATAAGAAAGTGGTAGCAGGATGCTAAACTTTCATTTGAGTTCAGTCACTTTGTTACTCAATTTTCTGTGCAAAATACATTCCAGATTATTCACAGGCTCTATGAAGGAACAGAGGGTGTTTACTGCTTGAGATTTGGAGCTGCACAACACAGATAGTACCCATTAAATAGGTTCTCCAACAATCTTAAAGTAAAAGAGACAACTTGCACAAGACTAAGAAATCAGGCAAGAAGTTTCTATGAGGTGGCTATACACACTCTCATTCATAAGTGAAATACCACAATTGAGAAGGAAAGAGAATATGTTGATGACTAGATATGTTAAGGTATTTGTTGTGTTCATTTTGTTAGGTTTCATGTACTTCTCCAATCTTTTGTAATTCAAAAAGAATAGGTATTATCTTGTAGGGAAAGAGATAATCAGTTACCCCGAAAAAAATGTTTGTGTTTTGTGCGCAATCTGCCAAAGAAAAATTACCAAAAAGTAGTCAGCAAAAATCTACATCAATGACTAGAAGCTATGCTAATGTTCTTCCCTCCCCTGAATGGCGTGACCAATCATAAAATTCTCTCGGTGAACAGAAGTCGTCGTTTTTCGCTTATAAAAGGAGATGATTTTTTTGAGTTTTGAATCGAACACGCGTTGTTGGCGAGAAGTGAAGGTTGGATTTGTGACCCCTTTTTGTCGTTTCTACGGTGTGTGTTGGACTGTTACGTCGGACTATCGTGTGAACTGTGATTTGGCTACAAGTGTTGTGGCCGAGAAACAGAAGAAATCTATTGCAGTTGCTACTATCAGTTGACCGTCTTTTCTTTTGCTACAACATATCTTTTGATAGAAACTTGTAAAAATGATTGAACATTTTATGCTTTCTTGGTGAATTCTTGTGACACATTAATTTGTCTATTCTTATTTTGATGTTTCTTTTTGCCTCTTTCTTTCACATTGGTTGAAAAGAAAATCTTACTGCCTAGAAAAAAAAAATTTCATTACTCACATCAAAAATTGTACTTTGAGGATTGTCACCAAATTTATACCCTCACCCCAAGTGTCATTTGTCACTAAGATTCCTGATTTTTTTTTCAGTTCCTGACCATTTGTTGATGATTGACCAACATGCAGCTCATGAGCGAGTTCGACTTGAACAGCTTACTGCAGGTTATTCAAAACACATTTTATCCCGCTATACTTTTGATTTGCATTTAATGTAAATTTAGAATCTTTGTCTTGTCTATATCACGTGATCTTAAAGGTATTATTTTATCACAGTGTATTTTTTTACATAATCACTTTAAAAATGTTCAATAGTGTTAAAACCTCTGCATGAAAAAACTTTCAAAATTAGACAAAAAACAACAGTCTTCAAGCCTGCTATTTCTCCATTAGAGCCAATCTGATTCCATCGTAAATAAGTCTGAAAATAAATGATAAAAAGCTATTTTAGTACGAACAATGTGAAAATTGATCAATGAATGAATTGGCTTGTGCTTTTCCATCACAATTAAGAATCTTTTTTCAAGATTACAGATGACGACTACTACTTCTGTCCCACAATGAATGTTACATTTGCATACACATTTCTTACACAAAATGTAACAGCTATTATGGGACAAACGTAGTATAAGAAAAAGAACCCCTAGAGTGATCAACCAAGCCGACTTTATGAACTTGAAATTATAATAAGTGGTTTAAAGCTTGTTTGGAGGTCTTACACCAGAAATATGGCTACAAGCTTTTGTTAACACCCCTGAATTCTGGACATCTGCAGATGCATTTCATTTATTAGTGCAATTAAAATCATTTGATGACATTCTCATCATTCCTTCTTCCTAGTGCAGGCTTTTATCTCTTTACCTTACCTTCCTGATTTCTCTTACTACATGGATTTGTTTTTTTATGGTTTATCAACCCTTTATGTGTTATTTAAATCTGAAACATATTTCATATTGTAGGAGGTTGTCTATAGTACCTTGTGTTCCCAATCAGTACCCCATCCAAGTACTGATCAGACCTTCTCTTGCTAAAACAAATGCATTAACACAGATTCATTGTTATACAAGAAACAACTTATTTTCATAAAAGTTCTAATCCTGTTTCTTGTGAAATATGGCTAAGATTCTTTATTGTCTTGCGTTTTTCTCTACTCTACTCAGTGATTAGTTCTCTTTTTTATTGTCATATGATCACATTATAAAAAGGTAATTTCCAGCATACCATTGCCATCATACCATTCATCAGCAATACACTTGACGTCGTGAAATGCATGCCCGTTGTGCTGGTAGCAGAGGAAAATAATTCTTTTCTAATCCAAAGCATTCCATTATATCTTTTATTTATTTACTTTTTATTCTGTTGCATTAAAAATGGATCTAAAAAAAATTATACAAAAATTGTTAATGATGATTTTAACAGCCATTTAAATCTAATCAAATTTCAGTCACCTTTATATAATAATATAAAATTTATTTTAATTTGTGTAAATGTAAATAGTAAAACTATTCATAAAATTATTGTGAATTTTTTTACTTTAGGAATAAATTAATTACAATAAATTTCTTTAAAATTTGGTTGCATAGTCACGATACAATAGCTGAACACTCTTTAAGTATTTAATCTAATAGCAAAAAGACATTTGCTCTGTGTTAAGTAAGATGTATTTGGGGTTTGATTTGAAAGTTTTGGATCAGCTCTCCCTCCAGCTACAGCTTTCCCCACGTAAGCAGAATGTGGAATGGTTTTTTTGGGGGCCTGAATGTTGTTTGCCTTTTATACATTTTTCCATTTCTTTTTTCAATTTACCTCTCTCTCCTTTTATGGTAATTATATTTTTCATTGTCTTTCATTTCCCTATTACACTGTTTATACTTATCAGTTTAAACATTATTTTTAGTAGCTACTCATATTTGAGAAGACTAACCACTAAAAATAACATTTACGGTGATAAAAATCTGTTGAATTAATAAATAAAAAATCCATTGTCTCTTTAGAAAATTACTGTAATAATGAAAATTTGTATCCCACCCGAATGTTTTTGCCATAGTTTAAGACTAATTTGATTTTTGTTATTTTGTTCATATGTGATTGCTGTCTTGAAGATTTGAAAAAAGTTGTTATCATTTTATTAGCCATTTGGATGTTTGTTTTGCTTTTGTTGTGAGCACAACAGTTTCATCAAAATCTTTTCTACAGGCTTCATGCATACAGTTTATAAGGAATTGCTTAATTATAGAAAAAATGGCCAGTATTGGTGTGAATCTCAATACCCATGTAACAGATTATTAGCCAAGGATGCTCTTTAATTTACTTTCTGATGAGTTCCCTCCCTTCCCTTACAAAATGTACAACTCTTTCTTTTTATGTACCATGTCCTTTCAGGACGTAGGCGATCATGGCTCTCCACCTCCTTCTATCCCTTGCAGCTCTCAGCAAGCTCCTTCCCTCTGCTTCCTCCCACAAACCACGTTCTGTCATCCACTTACTTAAGTCTGCCAGGTATGTCACACGTTGTTTTCCCTTGTCTCTCTTTCCCTCTATTCGACCCGTGAATATCAGATTCTCCAGGCTTTCTTTCCTCATTATGTGTCCCAGAAAACTTCAGCTGCCTCTTCCTTGTTTGCAACCTCTCTAAGACCTCATCGTTGCTTACACGCTCAGTCTATATTAGCATCCTTTTGTAGAACCACATCTATGTCGCCTTGAGTCTCTTCTTCATCTTTGAGGAAATCGTCCAACATTCACTGGCATAAAGAAGAACAGATGTCATGTAACAGCTCAGTAATCTTTTCTTTGCGAAACAATTCATGCAGTTCAATTTTCCAGTTTATCTGAATTTATATCATAACAGTTTCACAAGATTAAAAAATGAAACTTTTACACTGAATAAATATTTTCTCTCTTCTTTTTTGTGGCTTTGAACATGTAATAAAATGTTTTATTCTTGTTATAGATAAATTGTTTTATTCTTGTTATAAATAAAATGTTTTATTCTTGTTGTAGATAAAATGTTTTATTCATGTTATAAATAAAATGTTTTATTCTTGTTGTAGATAAAATGTTTTATTCATGTTATAAATAAAATGTTTTATTCTTGTTGTAGATAAAATGTTTTATTCTTGTTGTAGATAAAATGTTTTATTCTTGTTGTAGATAAAATGTTTTATTCTTCTTGTAGATATGTACCAATCCGAGAACAATGAAGAAAAGGAAAAGTTGGCTGTGAAATTTTCCTGGATATGTCCTCCTTGGACACTCAGCTTGTCTGACAAGGAAATCAGAATTGTCAGTTCCTTCTTGGATGAATTCTCAAAAATTGGTAAAATTACGATCATTTTCCACTTGATTAATTCTTCCTCAGTTTGATATAAAAATAATTCTAAAAGAAAAAGAAACATTTACTAATTGTAAAGACGCAAGAGCATTTCACAAATCCTACAAAGGTCAACTATCAATTATACCACCACATTTACTTTATATGGTCGAACGTTTCTTGCTTAATTGAAACTAATTAGAATCTCCTGAGCTGACCAAGCATAGAAATGAATACAATATGGAAACCAGTAGTAAGGAGTGCTAGAGAAAAGCAATGAATAACAACACAAAATTGCAATATAAGCTCTGGTAAAAAAAATGAAATAATAATAATGATGGAAAAATTGCAATATGAGCACTGGTAAAAATTGGTTGCTGAGACATTAGGTTTATAAGCCCCAAAAATTCATACACAGATGTCCTCGAGGACACATGGCCCAGTGGATAATGGTGTTGGTTCGATCCATTGACTAGACCCAAAGAGATGTGAGTTCAATACCAGGCTACAGTGGAATCAACATACTGTATTCAACCAAACTTGGAGAGTTGAGTTAAAGGAAAATAACTGAGATATCCAGAAGAGGCATGCCACGTGGAAGTAGAACAATCTACTCCAGTGGATGAAATAAAGGTTTCGGTTTGAAATTCCAATCGCTTGAAGAAGGCTAGAGCATACGATGACCGAAACGTGAATATGGCAATGAAGATTAGGATAACTGTCCGAATCATGTAAATAATGTAAAGTAATTAAGTCATTTGGAAATTTTTTAGTCATTAATTTTAAGTCAATTCATTTTTTGAAAGATAACTGATTGCTTAATCTTTCTGTAAGTTTCTTTACTGCTGAGGATTTGTTTTTGATGTACATATATAACATTTAAAAAAAGATTTGTGTTTGATGTAATTTTTGAATCACTTTGTTTCTCATAGTTACTCTGTACAGGCAAGATTTGGATTTTTTTTCTTATGCATGTCAATATAGTTATTAAACAACTAGCCTAAGAGCAACCCTTTGGACTGGAGACTGTGGAGGGCTTTTTCAGTCTTTTACCTTCGATATTTAAATTTAACTTTTAAATTAATTATTTATTTAATCCTTAATCACATGTAACTAAAGTAGTTACGATTTGTTACTTCAGGTTGCTTATGATTCGCAAAGATTGAGAAAATTGACGGACACACATACACTATAATTTATTTATATTGATTATTGATATTGTTTATTTTAGGATATTACATCGAAAACATGTCAAAATTGCTACACAATTGCAGTAGTATTTCGATGCATATCAATGCATTGCATCAGGCAATTGTAAATTACTGGCAAGTGAATGATTTATTTAGATTTAAAAGCAAAATACAATCTCTTTTTATAAAAGAAAAAATAAGTGTGGTTTGTGGGCCTTACTCAGATCAACCATTAAGCGAAGAAGCAAAAATTAAGAAATTATTTTTCATAAATGGGTCATGACCTGTAGATTGGATATTTTTATAATGTAACATCTTAAAAATGTTGACTATTTCTTTTGTTATTACTTTCTTCTTGATAAATGTTTGAAGTTTTATTTTGATTCTTCTCATATTGTCAGGTTTACAGTTGAAAGTGCATCAAGAGAGCAACATCATTGAAATACACACCGCCCCATCATGCATTATGACACGAGAAGCAAGTGAGCGTAAACATAATCGTAACACTGTGGCTGTTGATCTCGTTCAAGTAAGATTTTGACAAAAATTGTTCTTCTTTGCATATATTTCATGTATATTATGTCGTAACAGTCTTTAGAGAGAAATTATTTATTATCTAAGTTGTAAATATATCGGTGTACACATAGTGTAGTGGTTATCAGCACAGAAAAGTGGAATCAACATACTGCATTCAAATTCTAGATGAGTTAATTTCACTTTTGCACAAATCTCCCTGGGGGAAAAAGGTATGAAGAATGACAACTCAAAACTAATTGGGCATTGACTGTTCCACTCTATAAAAATCTACCTTCTCTGGAAACAGTAGTAGCAGTACTTGGTGTGGTGAGGCTGTGGCTATATATGCCACAAAGACATTAGAGAGAAGTTGTAAATAAAATGTTATGCTAGTTCATCTAACATTTCAGGAAATACAATGATATTTTTTTTGCATATTTTTATATTCCATTTCACTGAGATCTCATATGAGAAATGATATTTCTTAAAGATTGAAAATATTTTATGACTCATTTGTTGAACAGCCATAGAAATTGGAACTGGATGTGTTCTATCCAGTTTTTATTGATAAACATTTGAATCCTTGGCAAAATGATATAAGTCTTTAAAAAGCACATTTGTTTTTCTTCTCGATTCTGTTTCAATAATAACTGATTGCAATATGCAAGTTTGGCTTGTCTTCATTATTTTTTTAATTATTTATGTGCCATAGTTATGTTGCATCTGATAAAAAAAATGATTCACAAAATGTCATTGTTTAAAAACAATTGATATTTTCTGCTTCTTTGTATGTATGCATATCATTTTTATTTTTAGAAATATTTGGAAGATTTTATTCCAATTTTCATTAACAATTTCTTTTTCTTTCAGGCTGTGATTAAAGAGAAAATTGAGGTATGTCCATGAGTTCAGAAAAAATTGTTTAGAACTTGCTGATAAGGTATCTATAAAAGTGAAAGAAAATTTATTTTACTTTTAATGAAGATGTATCATTCTCAAATGTCACCTGATTATTTGAAATAGGACTTGATGATGTTCAAGGGATGTCATTTCCACTTTATTGTTGTAATATCATATTGCAATTTATAGTTTGTCTTGATCTTATATTAACATAAAGCTGATGGTCTAATTGACTACCAGTTAATATTGAATTATTAGTTGGTGTAGTATCTCCATTGTCTGGTACTGCAGTTAGGATTTTGTTGTTGTTTAGTAAATATTATTTTCATGGTAGTAAAGTACTTCATTCAACAAAACAGCATTCTTACTCTTGCAAATGTTTCATTCTGAAAAGAATCAAAGTCAATAACAACATGGCTGCTCCTCTACAAAGATGATATTGGTAAAATGGCTGCTGTCTGTTTATATCTTCAAAAGCCAAAATTTACAGCTTTAAGTCATATGTGTCTTTCCTTTTGGAGGATCGTTCAGTCAGGTGATTCCCAGACATTTTTGACTGAACAGATTAATTGTCACATGAATCAGTAGGTTAATGAACAAGTTATACAAACATACAGATCTGTATCTAGAGTTAGCTCCCTTGATGGTTTCGAGTAATTTCATATTTTGCACCAGTGGTCAGTGTTCAAACTAAAAGAACCTCATTTTGAATGCTGATTTTTTAGGTAAGCAGAGTTTTTCTATTTGCAAGATTGGTATAACACATTGTTCTTACCTCCAACTTTCAAAGAGCATTATTTAATAATTGATCACTTGTGTTAGATTAAGCTTATATCTTTATGTGGAGGTTACGTGTAGTTGCAGTACAACGATTTTGCAGGCACTTAAACATTTTTCATTAGTTGTACATAAATTCTATCCAGTCTCTGCATATAGATACCATCTTTTGCAAATCCACAAGAATATTTAATGTTGTAAGACATATTATTAAAGAATTTGCAACCATGAAAGTTCACATCATCATTTGAAAACCTATTTGAATTTTTAAAAGTCTAGAAAAAAATGAATATAGGAATTTTATCTTATTTTGTATTTTTAATGAAAGGCTTTGTAGTATCAAATGCAAATGAGAGAGGACAAGCATAAAAGGGAAGCAACTGGGAAACAAGACAGCATTACTCAGTGAACCTGTTTGATTAATGTAACACGGAGAATTGTGCTAAGACTGCTACTACAGAGAGATATACCCAACATAACAGGCTTACTGATACTTATAGCTGTGAAGTATAACATTTTATGACCTTCTTTTAAAGGACATCATTTTGTAAATGAATTGATCATTTATGATAGCTAATGTACTGTTCATAACACTTGAGGGTGAGCAGAGTCGTGACAAAATACTCTCATCAAAATATTGCTTTCTACCAAAGTTGACTAATACAATTAAGAACTGTTTCAATTTTTCAAATCCAGTTGTTAGCAGTCTGACTTCGCAAAACATTGAGAGTAAAAATTGATCCTTAGAAAGGGTTCAAGAAATATGGCTCTATTTAAACAAATGCCAAATAAATTCTTTTTCATAAAATCAAACAGGAAATTCAGCCATTGACCTTTAGTCCTTGATATTTCAAAATACTGTCATTTAACTGAACCTGTCATATTTTTGCATCCTTCAGCTTCTTCATGATACTCGTGGAGCCCACTCTACTATTCCTAAGACTATTCATAATTTGTTGTGCTCTCAGGCTTGTCATGGTAAGCATGAATTTAGTGATCACTAATTATTTATTCTATATATCCATATGACATTTAACAAATTTACTAAAGAACAAACTGTAATCGACTTTACAATTACACATAAACATTCATTTTTTTGTTTTTTATTTTTCCTGCTTGACTTTTACATAATTTTCTGTATTGTTTTCTGTCTTTCACCAATAAAATCAATGATTTATTTCTATAATTATAGATGTTTTCAAATGTTAAAATAAATAAAATATCGTTTAAGGATTTAGAGAAAGACAGATAATTCAATTTCTTTTAGAAACTTTTTACTGCAGCAATTCCATATATTCAAATTTCTGATCAAAAATATTAACATAACAAACTTAATGTAACAAATTTTAACACAAAACATAAAAGTATTTTCTTTGTATTGTTCTGACTTGTCATATATAATTTACTTAAACTTTGTTTCCCATTTTTTGATCATGTGAATCTGTAATAAATAAAATATTATTGAACCCTGTCAGAACTCAAATCTTGAACTCAAACTGAAGTGCTCAATTTGACATCTAGAGTTCATAATGACAAAAACAAACCTTTATAAATTCATCCAGTTCCATGCTCCCACTTCCAGAATACCATCCCAAAATACCAATGCTCCTAAAACATATTTTTTAGCCAATCAGAATCAGTTTTCACAGCAGTCATTTCTGAGCCACCACTAACAACATATGCATGCTAAATTTCTCTTATCTCAATTACTACCTTGTATTATAGACTAAATGAACTCTCAGTCTCCCACAACTGATATACAATACCCCAGAATGAGCAAATGATCAAACCTTGTAAATCATGGAAAATAAAATCTCTTTCACTTTTCTCAAAACACAATTATTTCTATTTGTTGTCTTGTCACTTCCATTTTTTTTTCTTGTTAATGGTAAGGCCACTGTTACAATCTGGGGATCATAACATGAAGAAATTGCTGTTAAGAAAACAAAATAGGTCCTTTTCTGATTGGTCAGGAGCAATGTTTTATGACCTTGCTATTTTGGGTTGTATTCTAGAAGTGTATACACAGAGCCGGACAAAATTAAGGTCTGTTTTTGCCATATGAGCTGTGGAAGTCGAAGTGAGCACTTGAGTTTGAGTTAAAAACTTGCAATTCCAATAGGGTATGACATCTTTGTGGTCTTAGGAAATTGTAAAACATAAAATACTTTAACCATACAAATTTGAAAGCTAAGAATAAAAGTATTTCTCTAATGATCAACTAATTATCTTTCAATTTTCTCTTTAGGTGCCATTAAGTTCAATGACCCTTTGGCTTTGGTGGAATGCCAAAACTTACTCAAAATGTTATTAAAATGCAAGCTACCATTTCAGTGTGCCCACGGTCGTCCTTCGGTCGTTCCTCTCCTCAACTTTGAACATTTGAAACGGATCTTAACAAAACCAGTAAGCAAACAATTTCTTGGGACTTTGAAATATAATTTTAACTTGTCCTTAATAATTCAAACTGATATTTGAACATCGGCTTTTCAGTTTCTACCTAAGCATCTCCGCCAGGTTATAGAAATCATTGAAGAAGGAATTTTGAACTGGAGATTCAAATTGGTGCTTAGGTTGTGTTATGGTGAGGTATGGTAATTATTCCCAAAATGGAATAAAATGAATAAGCCCACTGAAAATAATTTAAAAATATACTCTGCTTATAAAATGTTTTTAGGCTTTCTTAAAGTTTAAGAAAAAAATAATAAGCTACATTAATTATACAATGTTCAATTTAATTTTTTTTGTTTGAATTTTTAAAAAAATATTCACTGATTTACTCTTTTCTTCTACTGAATAAAGATATTTATGACACTGACTAATAATAATACCTAGCCCAGGGATTGAACTCACTACTACCAAGATCTATTTAATTAATGTTTTTACTCACTAAGTCATGTCCCTTTTATGGCAAATTCATAATAGAGACTTTGGAGCCTTAAACCTAATGTCATTTACCTGCCTCTTCAACTGATCCAGACTAATCCAATTCTTAATTCTGACTTGGTGGAAGGGAAAAATTAACGAGAAACTTACAAAATAGCCTCTCATAGATAGTAGAATAAGAACAATCTATCTGTATAGAGTGAATTACGTGTCCAGCTTAAAATGTTACCTCAAGAAGGCTGAAGCATATAACAGCTGAAATATTTGTAATTATAACACCAATTATTATAATAAGATAAAGATAGTAGTCTGAGAAAATCAGTGTAATTGTTTACATTTTAAAATAAAATTTTGTTTTAACTACTAAATTTTTTATTGAATATAAACAATTGTGAAAAATATGAAATTAATCATTTTAAGACATGTCAGTTACTTTGTTGAAAGTTAAAGTTTTGTATAAATATTTCATCAATAATTTTACTAATGAAAAATGTCTTTATATTGATGATTTATGGTAGCACTAAAAATAATTTATAGTTCTAACACTAATTCAATGAAAAAGATCATACCATGATGAACAAAGGCTCCAAATGTGATGAAAAAAATTGTTATTGTCTAAATGTTTATGTTATTATTAAGAGGAAAGGCCAAAGTATTTTTTGATTATTTTATCAAATTTTTTTTATCCTTTTTAGAACATTGGAAATTTTGATTAAAATCGTTTTTTTTTTGTTTTATTTATTTATTTTTTTTTGCATGAGTGGAATACCATTAAAAATCTTGTCTTAACCATGGTGACTTGTTTTGGAGGTGTTAACTGACATTTAAATCAGTGTATTGACAACTTAGGTCAGGGAAAGTTATCCGACAGACATTTGAAGATGATTTCTGAAAAAATAAAATTTAAAATACCAATGATAAAATATATTCAAAATTTTATAACTGAGAGTGAGATAAAATTTCATGAGACAGGTACCTAACTTTTACATAGATCTCTTATGAAATTTTATGCTATTATTTTTATTTATTATTAATTTTTATATCTCAGTTATGAAAATATTTTGCAACTTAGATATTATAAAAATTAATAATTAAAAATAATATAAAATTTCATAAATAACATAGGTATCTAATAATTATAGGTACCTCTCTCATTTTTATGAAATGTTATTTTTTTTAATGTGTTAATTTTCCTTATGTTTAATATTGTTTTGTTTCTTTCCTTAGAATTGAAACTGAAAAAGAAAATAATTAATAATTGCAGTATGTTTCTCACTGAAAAACAAATTAATTATATTTAAAAAATTAAATTAAAATATTTATTGAAATCAGACGTAAAAAAATAAAACTTTTGAAAATGCAACGATGATGGTCAAAATCAGAGTATCCGACACATGTTCGCAGTATGAAGAACTAACATTTTCTGAGGTCAGTTTATTGCCATCAGGAAAAACAACTCTTAAAAAATTTGACATTAAGGTCACTTACCATTATCCATATATTTGGAAAAAAGTTTTATGCAGACTCAAAACAGTGTAAAATTCTTTTTTAAAAAACATGTTTTGCAGATTGTTATAAGCTTTCAAATTTATGATTTGTAAAGATAGATCTACTTAATAACAGCATTCCCTAAAATTTATGGATTGAAAGTTAATTTTAAAATATTTAACAACTTTATCACATTTTGTATTTAAAATTGGAAAAAAAAAAAAAAACAATTCTTGTAAAAATTCATTTTTCATCGGAAAAATATTTTGGCTTCTGACAATATTGTCCTTAATATATATTATTCATAAAAGCCATAAAAAGCTTTTCTAATTAAATAATGTTTTAGTTTTATTGGGTTTTGTATGTTACAATTCAGAGCTGAATTTTCAGTAACTGCAATTCAGTTTTACGAAAAAATTGATGATTTATATTCTTCAAATTCTTTTGCTTTTAACTAATATAATTAATAAAAGTAATTCTGTGAAATTTTTTAAGTTTTCATAAAATTAAGTAACAGATATAAAAAAAATATTTTTATCATGACTTTCTAAAAGAAAAACATGTCTAAAATAATTTCATTCATTTGTGAATAAGTTCTGAAAGTTTTATTAATTCCAACAATTATTTGATTTTTGCAAGAATTTCCAAATCAATGTGTTTTTCAGCTGAAAATAATTGCTAAAACACTAATGATAAATATTATATGACTGCTAATGTAAAATAAAACAAGATTTTTAACCAAAATTTCAAACATGCTAGAAATGATGAAAAATTTCATAAAATAATCAATAAATACTTTGGTTTTTCCTCTTAATAATAACATAATCATTTTGATGATAAAACTTTGTTTTATCATCAAAATGATAAAAAGTTTGGGACCTCTTTTCATCATGCTATGCTGTTTTATCGGCGAATTAGTGGAGATACCTACTCTAAGAAGATAAACTGTATGACATGAGGAAAAGGACATTTCTGTTGACATCAGCTTTGAACTAAGATTTTGTATCAAGAATTTTTATGTAGTATTGGCAATCTAATTACACTTTGTAAGAGACAAAATCTTTTCTTTAAAAATATCAAATATAAAAAAAGAATTTTCTTTATAGATTGTTTGATCAACAACATATAAAACAAGAGAGTATATATCAAAATAGTCCTATCTTATAAGCCAGTCATTTCAATAAGTAATAAGCTTTCTTTTTTCAAGTTAGGGTTTACATAACATGGAAAATGAAAATGGTATATAATTCCTAATAATGTACATTAATGATATAGATTTAATTTTCAAAGAGAATTAAAATTCAAGAATTTCTTTTTATTTGACTGGTTAAAGATTTAAAAATTGACATTACTGAAAACAATGCTGGTATCACAAAAAGTTTTAAACAACTTTCCATAAACTTGCAAGGTAGATGGAAATATTGAAAAATTCTTGGTGCAAAATTCTACCCATTTGCTCAGATTTGGAGAAGTGGATCAGGCTGAGGATTTTACAGCCCTACCTTCTCTTATTAACTTGCACTCACAAATTGTGACTGTTGAATAGTTTCTAATAAAGTTGTCTAAGTTGTCGATTTACAGTAAAATTGCTATGAAAATGTTATAAAATTCATATCTGTTATTTTTAATAGTTTTTTTCTGACTTTTTGGCCTTAATTTAAGGAATTAAAACGCATCTAAAGTTTACTTGCATTATTTACATTTATCAAGCTGTTATACTCATCTTCATTGCCATTTTCACAACATTTCGGCCGTTGTACACTCCAGCTTTCTTCAGGTGATTGGATAAAGACATTGGTTAGATCCAGTGACTAGACCCAAAGTGTTGTGAGTTCAATGCCAGACTACAGCAGTGGTGAACCAAAAAACTTGGTGAGTTGAGTTAAAGGAAAATAAGTGAGACATCAGGAAGAGGCATGGCATGTCAAACTAGAACAATCTACCCTGATGGACAAAATAAAGGGTTCAGTTCAAAATTCCAATCCCCTGAAGAAGTCTGGAGCATACAGCGGCCAAAATGTTGTGAAAATGGCAATGAAGATGAGCATAACAGTCTGAATAATGTAAATAATGCAGGTAATCATAATACCTCATCTCAGAGATATAGACAGATATCTAAAGTTTAATTCTTTAAATTTAGTGCTAGAAAAGATCAGAATGTTTCAAATGGATTTATTCAGGCATACACACAATGTATTTTGAAGTAAATTCACAGAAGTATAAATTGATTTGTTTATATAAATGAATTTGCTGGAAATTTATTTCTATTTTTTATTTTAGGAACTTCCAAAAGTTAATTTGAAGAAATTAAAGAGACGGATGGAAGAAGAAGGAAAAAAGAATTTCTCATAATTTTGTTTCTTTGGCTCAAAACATTTCTAATTGAGCAACCAATAATGAGCAACTTTTAATGAAAAGTTAGACATTTTCATTGTTATTTTTAAAATGAATTCTGTCAGTCTTTATTATTATTATTATTCACTAAGTGGAATTGAATAAGCTTTTTAATTCTCTTAACTATTTATATTCTTTATCATCTCTACACCATTTATTGTTAAATAAACCAAATAATGAATCGCTTCTAAGGAAGCAAATTCTACTGACTCTTCTCTATTGCTGGATGCAAAAAACTTATGAAGATATCTCAATGAATATCCTTTTTCAAAATCAAACTCATTAGCATGGAAAGAGTCATTTCATTAAGAGTTTACATTTCTGAGAAGGATTGATGTGAAACACGTTCTCATTATTTGGATCCAATAAATGATGATTGTTGATAATGCCACTTTCTTTATTCAGAATAATTTAGCAATGTTGAAACTGTGTCTTCTAGTTCTTCTTTTGCCTAACTTAATTGTTATTTAAATTGATGTTGATATGTGCCTGAATTGGAAAATACTCCAATATTATGAAAATAATGATTTTAACTCTTAATTATATTTTATTTAGAAGAGAAGAACGTAACTTATTAAATGAATTAAAAGAATTAATTGAAAGTGGTTATCTAAACATGCAGCTGTTGTGTTTTTCATGTTTTTATACTTATCTAAATTATTCATGCTTTAAATGCATTAATAATCACAGGCAATATAGACTGCTGTTTGGCTAAAAATTAATCTGGTTTCAAGTTGACATGGAGACTTTCAATAATATTTTCATATCACAAATTTATATTAGATGAAAAGTCTAAAAAAAAAAGAAAACACTAATTATCATTGCTTAGAAAAATAATATAAATTTCATAATTTATTTTTTTTAGCAATGTCTCTGATAAAAACAATGTATCCCTAAATTCTACTACAAATTCAACTCAAAGCATCTTTGATGCTGCATTCTTTCCAGATGAAGAATCAAACCAATGCTGGGGGAACAGCACTGAATATTGTTCTGAAGCAATATGGCGACAAGTCTTGACTCTTTTTTACAAATGAATGTTGTCTTCCTTCTTTTTTTTTTTTTTTTTTTTAAACATATCTTTTCTGTTATAAATTTTTGCAAGCACAGAAACAGTTTTTTATGTTATAAAATTCATATCTGTTATTTTTAATATTTTTTCTGACATTTTAGCCTTAATTTAAGGAATTAAAACACATCTAAAGTTTACTTGCATTATTTACATTTATCAAACTGTTATCACCATCTTCATTGCCATTTTCACAACGTTTCGGCCATTGTACACTCCAGCCTACTTCAGGTGATTTGATAAAGACATTGGTTAGATCCAGTGACTAGACTCAGAGTTGTGAGTTCAATACCAGACTACAGCAGTGGTGAACCAAAAAACTTGGTGAGTTGAGTTAAAGGGAAATAAATGAGACATCTGAAAGAGGCATGGCATATTGAACTAGAACAATCTGCCCCAGTGGACGAAATAAAGGGTTCAGTTTGAAATTCCAATCAATGGCCAAAATGTTGTGAAAATGAAGATGAGGATGAATAAAGTAAATAATGCAAGTTATCATAATACCTCATCTCAGAGATATAGAGGCTGAAACATTGTGAATATAGCTATGAAAATGAGGATAACAGTCTGAATAATGTAAATAATGCAAGTAATCATAATACCAATAACTAAAGTAATTTTCTTAAAAATAGAAATATGTTATTCATAAAAATTAATATGATTGTTGTTGTTATATTGCTTGGAGTTATGTATACAGTACTTTTGTCCATTGGACTTCCAGCTTAATATTTTGTCATATTTTCAATAATGCTATTTTGTTATTACAGATTTTATAAGTACAAAGATTGAAGGCAATTCCTTAACTCACATTTGGGTCAGGTTTAGCAGTTGTACGATTAATCCACAACCTTTTTTTCTTTTTTCTTGATTTATGTAATTTTGAAATTGTACTATTCAAAACTATTCTTTAATAACTGGAAATAATAGACTTGGCCAGGGAAAGTTTGAAAAAAAAAAATTCAAGTAATTAGAAAAGTGAAACACCATTAAAGTCACCAGGAAGTCTTGATCAGAGTTTTATCATTAGCAGAAGTATTTTTTTTAAGTGCACTCATTCTATTGTTAAACTGCATATTTGAGAATGGACACATTAATTATTATATGAAAAACTACATCATTATCTTATGTAAGTTTTCTTTCTTTGTTGTTATTTAATAAATGAATGTATATATGTTAACTGTGATTTTATTTATACATGGAACGCAGCGGTTTTATGAAAGGTAGTAAAGGACAGTCTTGTTCACTTTGATTAGAATCTTTAACATGAAAGGAAATCAGATTGCTGTTTCAGGATATTTATTTTGAAAAAAGTAATATTTATTTGCAAAATCATTTTTACATGTAATGCACAAGTGAATGTATCTACTTTTATTTTTGTGTCTGTCTCTATATGTATGTATATATAAATACTAGGATTGGGTATATACCTATGAGTGGATGGTGAAAATTTCTCAGCCCAAACACACTTTCCAAAATCTGACCAAACAACAGATTTCTTTTTAACAGTTTCCTGGTTGGTTAATATTTCATGGCATATAACATTTTCTCTAAAGAGGTTTTCCAAAAATTCAGATTCTATTTTAACTTTCAGTTTTTGTACTGAACATATTTTGCTGTGACTTTGGAAAATGTTTGAGAAAATTATTTGAATTTTTTTCTTGTTGCAGAAGTGTCAATAAATCTTTTTATTTTGCCCAGAATTTCTGTTAAACAATTTTGTCATTGAGCAAGAAAGAAAAAATAACAAAAGCATCAATCTATGATCTGTGAGAATTGATTTATTTTTTATGGCTTATCAACCTTTTGCAGGTTATTTAAAGCCATAAATCATTTTTGGATTGTAAGAATTTTTGGAGATAGTAATGATTTACTGACACACGTCTTACTAATTAACCCATAGATGGAGGTGAGAAGAGGTGTTTTCATTTCTTTCCGAAGGTTATTTGTGTTTAAAGTGAATATAACAAGCCTGACTGGAATTGAATCTCAGCTCTCCAATTTCAAGCCATTATCCATTACATCACTTGTACATTCAAGCTTATAGCAGCTGGTATTCCCAAGCAGTCACCCACTGTAGGTACTGACCAGGCTTGACGTTGCTTAACTTTAGTGATTTTATGATAATCACTATATTTAATAATCTATTCAGTATAAAAAGAAGGCAACATTGAATGGTTGATTGCTGTTTCCAGTTGCTTCCATAAGCTGTCATATTTGCAGTACAGAAAATGGTTTAAAGAATTACACCAAAATATTTTCTCCAAACAATTTTCTTGAAATTCTTTCAGAGAAATGTTTTTTAAGATAAAAATATTATTGATATTTTTTGCTTCCCAAAATTGATAGATGATGATCATTTTCAACCTTGTCAGCTATGAAGCCAGGTAATTCAACTGATAAAAGCTGAACTAAAACATTTTTAGACCGATAAAGAACTCAATTGGAATATAATGTCTATAGCCCTTTTGATTTAACCTTTGCCTCTAAATATGAGGAGGCATGGTGGAGTAATGGATAGTGGCTCGGATTGAGAAATCGGTGAGCCGGGTTCAAATTCCAGTTGAAACCATTACATTCACTTACATGCTAATACCCTTGGGAAAGGTATGAGTCCTCATCTTCTTCCACAGCTATGGGTAAATAGCAGGACAGACCGGGTTCTATAGCCTTGGATGGCAACTTGTCTACCACAGAAAGAAATAGCAAACTACTGTAGAAAAAAAATCTGCCTCGTCAGTCATGTATCAAAAGATACATGATCACCTAAGCGTGTATCACACAGGGCACATGACTGACTGACTCTAAAGGTGAAATAAAAGTTGATATAGATTCTACTTTGCATTCTTCAATGATTTTTAAATAGAGAAATTAATAAAGGTATATTTCATGAAAGATTATTAGTTTCAAAATAAATAATGAACAAATAGTTAATATCTGTCCGAATTTCTCAGATGAAGAGCTATTATTATTATTTACATTTGGGCTATATCTTTTAATTGATGTTGGTATTATCTTAGTATTGTGGTAATTTCACCCTGTGACGTTCTTCAGATGTCTCTGGTAACCTTCAGCTAATTTTAAACTGAATGCTTTATTCCAATGTTGCTCAACTTTTTTTCTTCTTCAGGCCACACTTGTTGAATAACTAAAACTCTAGAGCATGAAATTTGAAATTATGCTGATTTATGAAGTATCTGCTTTTTTTTTTTAAGGGGCCAATAATGACTGATTTAAAATCCCTTGAATAGGAAAGGATTATCCACTGCTTAAAAATTAAGGAATTTAGCATTCAGTTTAAAATGACAAAGACTTGAATTAGATATGGAAGCCATGTACTTAATGTCTAGCTTTTTAAAAATAATTGATAAATTACTCTTCTGTTAAGTTGAGGTTCACCTGGCTACATTTCAGGGAGCATTAGTTTACCTGGCTACATTTCAGGGAGCATTAGTTTACCTGGCTACATTTCAGGCAGCATTAGTTTACCTGGCTACATTTCAGGGAGTATTAGTTTACCTGGCTTCATTTCAGGGAGTATTAGTTTACCTGGCTACATTTCAGGCAGCATTAGTTTACCTGGCTACATTTCAGGCAGCATTAGTTTACCTGGCTTCATTTCAGGGAGTATTAGTTTACCTGGCTACATTTCAGGCAGCATTAGTTTACCTGGCTTCATTTCAGGGAGTATTAGTTTACCTGGCTACATTTCAGGCAGCATTAGTTTACCTGGCTTCATTTCAGGGGTATTAGTTTACCTGGCTGCATTTCAGGCAGCATTAGTTTACCTGGCTTCATTTCAGGGAGTATTAGTTTACCTGGCTACATTTCAGGCAGCATTAGTTTACCTGGCTTCATTTCAGGGAGCATTAGTTTACCTGGCTACATTTCA